AAAGATACACAAAAATATTGATTTGGCTTCATTCAAGGACAAGCAGGTTGCTTGATGTTCTTTGTTGTGCTTTGTCCAGTGTGGCTTTGAGGCATTATGTAAACATGACCATTGACTTTCATCAGACAGAAGTCTTTTGTTAATTTGTTTAGGGAATAGAGCAGTTCTGCACTAAGTGATGGAGGTCATTCAACGGCCTACAAGTCTATCCAACGGTTACCGCAAGGGTCACTGCCTTGTCCCTCTGCTTTGAGTATTTTTACATCCTGAGCAATGGTGGATGTCTGTGCAGCAGCTGTACAATCACCTGCCCTGCACATTCTCCCAATTCAACAGAGTCAAAATGGCCTCCCCACAAGTAGTAAGATCAGTGGAGCTGCCTGGGGCTCCTTAGGCTTCACTCTGGATGAGTCTCATTTCTTGTGACTTTGTTAGTATTCGTCATCCTCGGTGCCTGTGGTGGTCAGAAGGAATGAAACAGGATGCTGGCTATGAATGTAAATGAGGTACCTCAAGTTCTAGTTGACTAAGAATGTATTACTGGCTGCATCACGTCATGTCATGACATCTGAATAATGTTTTAATAAAGCAATTACTTTTTTGTTTTCATAAACAACTTATCCTGCAAAATGACGTTCTATTGATATAAGGAGCCGTGGACTGAAGTAAGGGACATTTGTTCCATTTATAACATCATAAGGCTTAAATAACACCATGTAAGTGCCACAAATTTCTACTTAAGTAAAAAAGTGTACCTTCTATTAAAGACAAGGTCTCCTTTATGGAAAATAACCTAGCATAAATGTATACCTGTAATAACTATATTGCATTGAAATAATGCTTCATAAAAGTGTTAGAAATTGAACAAATGTCCATCACTTTAGCTTAAGGGACTTTATGTCAATAGATTCATTTACTGTCATTTACTTCACAAAATATCTTATGTCATCTTGCAAATAATTGGCATAAACTGTAAGTATTGTTTTATTAACACGTTATACATAAGCTATTTAATGCTCATGCATGTGTTATGAAGTCCCTATCTAGGTAGCCTTCAAATAAAGCTTTAACGAAGATCATGTAGATTACTGATAACCCTTGCTGTGTGACAGACATGTTTAATAAAATATTTTTGATATTTCATCTAAATGGAATAATTTTGATCTTTCATGATTTTAGAATTGCAGATAATGAACAGATGGATCTTTCATTGGTGTGCAATTATGTCAGTATCAATATGAGGGGCCTAACAGAGATTTTATGGGGTCTATTTGCTTCCGGCCCTCCTGCACTATGGGCCTAAGTGCGCAGGGGAGCGCAGGACTTTTTTGCAGGATTTTGGTGCTGTTGGGTTCTGCACCGTATCTCAATCCACATTCTTTTTTGTCCTCATGCCCAGGTGGTGGAATGAACTTCCCTGGCCATCCAAACAGCCGACAGAAGACCCATCATCAGAGTAGATACTAGAACAAATTCATTAAAATTCACTACAGTGTAAAATCGTGTTTTGAAGCTGCAATTGCTTTGCTTTAGACATTATCATCAGATAAGAGTAATAAAATAAAAACATAACAAAGATCCCTTTATGTTTACTTTGTCCTAAACAAGTATGAAAGTATCTCCCACTTCCTGAATCACTCACTGAGAGGAACTGTCAAGCAGCATTAAAGACTGCTGAGAGTGGTTCTGAGATTGTGACAGGTTTTAGTTCTTCTTTTAGTTTTACTTGCTCTATTTCTATTTCCTTGTATCATTTCTCTAATCTTGTGATTCATATGCTATAAATAGCTTTAGAGCTTTATGCCTTTTCAATCACTTGTTATCTTTTGATTTCTGTTTATATTATTGTAACATAGCATTGTACACAGTATCGTTAAAATACTTAGATTCTGAAGTACCACCTAAAGTTCAGTTAGTTTCTTCCTAATTCAAGTACACTTAAATGCTTGTGTTGGAACAAGCAGTTCCCATAACTCCCAAACACTGTGGAAATGAATGCGCCTCTGCTGAGAACAGGATATTGTCTTTAGACGTGCACCAGCTCATTCTTAACTAGTGAGGAAAGAAACTGTTTTGTTTGGTTTGTTGGGTTGATTTTTTCTGGTTCTTCTGTTCAAATGTTCATTACATTCAAACTGGGTCTCAGCTGTATGCACACAGTGTACAGCCAACACTGCTGAGAACTATTACAATGCAGAAGGGACATGCACACTCGTCCAGTTCTCTGTGCTTCTGGGGTTCAATATTCCAGTGTCAGTATCTCTGTTAGGAGACGTGTACATCGGTGAAACAGAGATCACTTCTCTATCACCAAGTGTCTATTTATACTTACAGAACAACTCTCTCTAGAACAGACTTTAACCTCATTTTAGAAATTGAACTGGATATCTATCTATCTATCTATCTATGTATCTATCTATGTATCTATCTATCTATCTATCTATCTATGTATCTATCTATCTATCTATCTATCTATCTTATAATGCAAGTCAGTGTCACAATCCATCATGACATTTATGAAATTTTAACACCATGCAAAAAAAAGTTAAAGACGACCAAAGTGGAGATACAATATCTCCACATATACTCACAGTTGCATGCAAAAGTTTGGACACCCCTATAAAATAACATGTTTCACTGATTTTTTTTAAGTGTAAATAAGTACACATCCTAAACAGAGAACACACTTCTGCATTTTTTAATGCACTACTACTGTTTATTTGATGAATTTAAAATGTGTGGCCTGTGCAAAGGTTTTACCACGTTTAATATGTCCAAAATGTTAAACTCAGCAAATAAATAGAAACTCTGCTCTAAAATTTTCTGAAAATGCTATATTGAAGTTTTGTAGAGGACTTGTTGACTTATCCTAGACCAAAAATTGACATTTGTACATTTACTATACTTTTATAGCTGACTTGTGCTAGCTAGCGACAAAACAATGAAATACCAATTGTACTAGATTCACCATTAGTATACATTATTATATTGAACATTTAAGCTGAAATTGCATAAAACAAAAGTTAATTTTCAGGTGTTTCAAATTTCTGTATTAAGCAGCTTTGAGGCATTCATCAGAATTCCTAATAATAATGCCCTGGTTTGACAAAGTGGACAAGAACTAGTATCGGAGACAGACACTGTCATTTTATTTTATGGTGGACATGCACCTTTCTACCAAAAGAGGGAGACATTTACCCTATTTATCTGCCTCTTTTTGCCCCCTGTAAAATCTCTCATGAACAGCTAACAGTGTATTACAAATTCATGGTTTTATGCTTTAAAGGCAGATCCTTCTTTAGTTTTAATTGTTGTATTCTGCACCTCTGTGGGATGGTTCATGTGTGTGTTGTGGAGGGTGTCACTTGCATGTTTGTGTAAGTCTCCAGCAGATGTACACTATTTGTCTGAAAGGATCCAGCCACCTTTTCTGATCAATGAATTAAGTTTCTTTTTGCTGCCCCCACTGCTGTACAATCTCCATAGAAAAGCACTGTCAGTAGAATGGGATGCTCTAGAGAAGTTACACATAAGCTGACAGGTACCAGGCCCAATGCCAGTTGTCGACTAGAGGGGTTTAAAGCCCACCAGCACTGGGCTGTGGAGCAGTGGAACTGTGTTCTCTGCGGTGATAAAGCCAGAGAATTTGTAGTGAGGATGAACTGCCACTCAGCAATGTCTTCCTTTTTATCAAACACTAGAGGGCGCTCCCAAGTGAGTCCAAAATAAACGCGTTAATATGGAGCATTTGAACATTTGAACAGTACTTAAACATTTTTACATAGAAAAATACATTTATCTCCTGAATACAGAACGGCATAAAACATAAAACACTGGTGTTATATTTTTGAGAGCTTTAGAACTCCAGTTATGGGATTTTATAACAGCCCCTCATGTATGTTCATGACCTCAATGAGCCCAAAATGCTTCACTCAGCTAATAAGCTGATCAGCTCATCAACCAGTCAGCACTTGCTAGCTGTAATGCTAACCAATCAGCACTCAGTAGCAGTAATGCCAACTAATCAGCACTCAGTAGCAGTAATGCCAACCAATCAGCACTCAGTAGCAGTAATGCTAGCCAATCAGCATTTAGTAGCAGTAATATTAGCTAATCAGCACTCAGTAGCAATAACGCCACCCAATCAGCAGTCAGTAGCAGTAATGCTAGCCAATCAGCATCTAGTACCAGTAATATCAGCCAATCAGCACTCAGCACTCCCATTAAATTCCCACAGCAAGGTTCCCACATCTAGTGTAAAGCCTTCACAGAACAGTAGAAGCTGTTAGTGCAGAGCAGGGTCTCCCTATTATTACCCATAGTTTTAGAAGAAACACTGAATGAGCAGGTAGCTACAAACTTTTGAGCACAGTGTATCTGTTTGTAAAAAAGATACAAATTGAAGAATAAACTTGAACAAATGAAAGCACTGTATTTATTATGCAAATATAATACTATGTAAGTGCAATATGCCACCATGTGTATTCTTTCATTTTAAGTCTGCTGAATGCTGTTTTTTCCATTGCTGGGTACACTATTAATATTTCTTTCTGCAATATACTGTAAGTTTACACCAGTTGCTCTTAATGAAGTATATAAAACAGACACAAAAAAAAATTAATAAAGACTTTCAGAAACTGAATTACTTTTGGAATTAGCAAAAGGTCAAATCTTTCATTCTGCAACTACTTCAGTGTTTTATGGGACTCCAGTGTAACATTCAAAATAATCATTTGCCTCCAGGAGGTGGAAAAACCATCAGGAACCATTCATTTGATGCAACATCTAATAACAATTAATCGAGCTTTAAATGAGATTTATAATGTACTCTTTCTACAAGAACACTAAATCTTCCTAACTGCAAACAGAAGACTCTGTCATTTGTGGTTTGCATTTATTTGGTTGGTCAGTGTCTCTCTCTTGATTTATTGCATGAGTCAATGTGCAAAATGGCCTTGGGTGCACTTTCTTCCCCCTGGACTGGAGACGGCACTGTGAACAGAGGGTGAATCAGGGCTTCAGGTTCACTTTAGTGCACCACTTACTATTATGTTGGCATGTTTACTATTAAACTTACTATGTTAGCAAAAAAAGCTTTTAAGCCAGAGAAACTGAAAGAATGAACATACAGTACTGTGCAAGTCTTACACATATTAAAATTTTACTCAGCAACCTATTTATCTGGGCAATAAGCATTTTATATAACACTAATATAACAACAGACACAAATAATATTAATGCAATAAGCAGTGATTTTTTGTTATTCAAGGTGTTTGTTTAACCATTTCCAAACTTCTGTTTGTAGAAGTTCAGCATTATTGTAGTTGTATACCTGGTTTGGGTAGTTTGGGTAGATTGAACAAATCTATGCAATGGCTGGGTGGGGAGGCATTGAAAACCATAAGTTCTTAATACTTTTTACTGTATTTATGTTTATTCACATTTATTCTAATGATATATGGCTGGGGTGTCCACAAAGGGCCACTGTGGGTGCAGGTTTTTGTTCCAAACAAGAGGAGCACACCACTCATTTAATCATTAAGTCTCTGTCTTTAAACAACTGATCATTTGAGCTTCTGCCTTGTTGCAAGAAAAACCTGCAGTCACACCAGCCTTTTGCGGATAAGACTCGAGACCCCTAATATATGGTGTTTTAACAAAAACAAGCGTGCTTATTGCCAACTATATTTAACAAATAAACCAAGTGTAGTTGTTGTTTTGAGGATGACACAGGTTACACAGTTATTTTATTATAAAAATCCATTTGATTGTCAACCATCCTACCCTGCTGATTCCCCCACTCCCCTCAGTATTTTGTATGCAACATTCACATTTGCCCTTCTGTAAGTTTAATGTTTGTTTTCTAGGGGTCAAAAACAGAAGGCATTTTGGTACACTGTTAGGCACCTATACTGTAAATACTGTACTGTAAATTCATTGATAAAATATGTAAACTTTATTATAAAACAGTATGTACAACTAATTTGTTTAAGGAACAAAAGGTTATCAATAACTTAGAAGCCCAGCTCCCATTGAGAGATACAAAACTGTACACAACTTACACTATGAAGTAAAAATAGACAACTTTGTATGCAAAGTTATACATAAAATAACAACTGAGGAAATAAGGTTCTCTTATTGGCTTGTGGTATGGCGTCATTATGGGTCAGTAAACAGTGGTTTATTCCAGCAGACACTGCAGCATGTTCAGTTCAAAGTGTGGCCTCGGTACATTGGCATAGACACAGAGCCTGTTACTCTTTGCTCTTCTTTTTCTTCTTCTTTTTCTTCTCAGAATTCATAAATAATCCTCCTCCTGAAGATGGAATACTGTCCTCTTCACCAAGCTGTGTGCTTGAAACCTCTTGTGGGCTTTCTACCCTTTCTAGTCCAGTGGTTATGTCTAAAGAATGTACATATTGCATGTGTCTGATGCCGCCTACGTTCTGACCTGAGTCGAAATTGTCCCTTTTGATCTTCTTTTTTTTCCTCTTTTCTGACAATGCTTCTGAAGGTGTTGACTGAGAACCCCTGAGGCTCTCCTGGGACGCAACGTATTCAGCATCCTCATCATACAAACCTGCGCTCACATCAGTGGCAGCTTCTGCTTGTCTTTTGTTTTTCTTCTTTTTGGTCTCAAGCTGTACAGTGTCTTCCGACTGCAGTAATGAATGACCACTTTCAGAATCGCTGAAAAGAGATGTTCTCTTATTCTTGCCCGTTTTATCACTGAAAGGCCAAGCGCTAGATTCTAATTGTGCTACAGAACTTTTTCCTTTATGTCTTTGTCCAAATTCTTCTTGATCTATACGACCCATGCCATCAGAAACCCAAGACAATGCATTGTTTTCCTTCTCTTTCCTTTTCTTTTTCTTCTTCTTTGGGAATGCAGATCCACCAACACAAGGTGAACAGTACCCAACCTCCTCATTAATCTCTGAACTGTTATCCTGCTCGCTTACATTCGTTTCCATTCCAGGGATTGAAGGATTAGATATCGTCAAAGATCCAGGTCTATTAGATATAGAAGCATTCTCAAATGCTACCCATGGTGTCTTTCTGGCCTTCCCTTCATGTGCCACTTCAGAGTCATGAGATGTTCTGTCCTTTATCTTTTTCAGTTTTTTCTCTGGAATCTGTTCAGAGGGTTTCTGCTCACAATCCTGAACCATTTCTAGAGACGCAACCTGCTCCATGTCCACATTTTCTAGACCAGCCCGACTCTTCTTTTTCTTCTTCTTCTTCTTCTTCTTCAGTTTTGTCTCTGGATCTGATTCAGGAGCTTGCGGCTCAGAATCCTGAATCACTTCAACCGCCTCAACTTGCTCTGGGGTCTCTACAGCCACATTTTCTTCAACATCCCTAGACTTCTTCTTTTTCTTCTTCTTATGTTTTTTCTCTGGAATAAATTCAGTTACTTGCGGCTCAGAATCCTGAATCACTTCAACAGCCTCAACCTGCTCTGTGGTATCTATAAGACTGGTATATACAGCCATATTTTCTTCCACAACCTCAGCCTTCTTCTTTTTCTTCTTCTTGTGTTTTTTCTCCAGAGCCAGTTCAGTAGCTTGCTGCTCAGAATGCCAAATCACTTCCAAAGCATCAGGTTGCTGTGTTGTCTCCACCTGACTGATCTCTACGGCCACGTTTTCTTGAACAATCCCAGCTTTCTTCTTTTTCTTCTTCAGTTTTTTCTCTGGACCCAAATCAGTAGCTTGCTGCTCAGAATCCCGAATCACTTCCAGAGCATCAACTTGCTCTGTAGTCTCTATCTGAGTGGCCTCTACAGCCACATTTTCTTCAATGACCCCAGGCCGCTTCTTTTTCTTCTTTACCTTTTTCTCTGAAACCAATTCAGTAGCTTGGGGCTCAGAATCCTGAATCACATCTTGCTCTGTGGTACCTACTTGACTAGCCTTTAGAACTACATTTTCTTCAACAACCTGCTCTCTGTGATTTTTCTTCTTCTTCTTCACTTTTTTCTCTGGAAACGACTGAGAACTTTGCTGCTGAGAATCTTGAACCACTTCCAGAGTCTCAGCTTGCTCTGTAGCGGCTACTTGACTGGTCTCTAAAGCTACAAAACTTTCAACAACCCGTTCTCTCTTCTTTTTCTTCTCTAATGTTTTCTCTGGAACTGATTCAGTATCTTGATGTTCGGAATGCTGAACCACTTCTGTAGCTTCAACTTGCGCTGTATTATCCGCCTGACTGGCCTCTACAGCCACATTTTCTTCTACGACCCCAGGCCGATTCTTTTTCTTCCTCTTCAGTTTCTTCTCTGGAACCAATTCAGCAGCTTGCCCCTCAGGATCAAGAATCACTGGTGGAGTCTCTAGCTGACTGGTCTCTACAGCCACATCATCTTCACCAACCTGTTCTCTCTTCTTTATTTTTTTCTCTGGAACAAATTCAGTGGCTTGTTTCTCAGAATGCTGAATGACTTCCACAGCCTCAATTTGTGCTGTAGACTCAAGCTGACTGGCCTCAACAACCACATCTCCTTCACCAACCAATTCTTTCCTCCTTTTCTTCTTCATTTTTTCTTCAGGAACCAATTCAACAGACTGTAGTTCAGAATGTTGAATTACTGCAACATCCTCAGCAGTCTCTACCTGGCCGTCAATTACAGCGACATCATCTTCACCAGTCTGCGCTCTTTTCCTTTTCTTCTCCTTTACTTTTGTCGCTGAAACTGATTCAGTAGCTTCCTGCTCGGAATGCTGCATCACTTCTGTAGCCTCAACTTGTTCTGGATCCTCCATCTGACTGTGTACTGTTCCTCTGGCCATCTCTGCCTGTTCACCTGTGATGACATTCTCACTTGGACTCGAGTCAGCATTTACTTCTAATCCTGAAAGATCGTCAGACAGCGATAGTGTTAGATGAAGAAAGTGAACATTTCTTTCTGGACAAGCAAGCGTCACACTATCATCTGCTGGTGTCTTGTTGTGATCTTTATCCTCTGCTTGTTTGATTTCATCAGCAATAGTTGAGGTTGTTTTAATCAAATGTGGCACATAGCTCTGAGAACTCTTCTGCAATTCACAATGTTCAGTATTATCAGCATGACTACTAGTCTCTACACCCACAAAGATTTCTACATTTTTCTCTTTACTTGTCTCGTACATTCCATCTTCATCCCTCTCTCTCAATTCTTCCTGCAACATTTCCAGAGAAGGGGTTCTATCAGAGTCTTCTGAAGCTTGGTCCAAGTCTGGCCTCTGCGTCTCCTCAACCACTGTATCATCGTTTGCTCCTTCTAGTGCTAAGTTTTCACAACTTTGAGTGTTGCTGCAAAGCAAGTCCAAAGATTCTGACTGTGTACATGCAACTAAAACTTCCAGCTGTTTCTCACTGTGCTGCTCCTGCTCTATGAGGAGAGATCTAACACTGGAACATCCAGGAGAAGAGAATGAAGTCCTACTTTTATTCTCCTGCTTCCTGCTTTTTGACCGTAACGTTCTGACATTGAGTGAGCCGACCGCTGTGTCACTCAGAGTCTCTGTGTTCTCTTGAGCCTTTCTTTTGCCTTTTGCACCCATAGAGACTGGACTGTTCTTCTTTACGTTTTGTTTCTTTTTATCCTCTATTTTTTCTTTCTTCCTCTTATTATCCTTCTTAGGAGCTGTGCTGGAGGCCTGTCTACTTTTCCATCTTGATGCTGGAAGCCATGTTTGTCGATTTCTTTTAGGGCAGTTTGATATAAAAGATGCCAAATCCTGAAACAAATTGAAAGCTACGGATGAATAAACAAGGAGTTCAACAGTACGGATCTCAGAGACAACGTTTTGAGTTCAAAAAGAATCATAGTGCACAGCAGAAAAGCCTAGAAGGCCAATATGACCTACAGCTCAGAGTGACTGTACTGTGGCATCCATAGGCAGGAAACCAGATATAAACTGCACTGATGAACTGACAGAGTCAGACACCCACATAACTGTGTGATTCAAGTGATTAGTGTTCTTTGCCAATAAGTGATTGGTGGCTCAGAGAGCTAGGAGGAAATATGAGTATTCACTCTCGCAGATCAGTGGTACATGCCTAGTAATTCATAGATTGGACTGATGATTCTAAATTTGTTGAATAACAAAATTAATGTAAAGGTGTCATTTTAGGAGTGAGACGTTAAGAGATAACAGATGAAAATGATCAAAATTATCAAGTTTTTTTGTAGTGAAATGTTGCAGGACATACCACTATTCTGATGTCGTCATGGTCCTCCTCCGCGCTGCCTTCTTCCGGACTGAAAATCAAGCCAGTTCCATTAATACCATACAAAAGCAAAAAGAAGACAATTCCTTTTTAGATGAACACTGATAAGAAAGATATTAAGTAATATTAATATTTCCTTGACTGAAATTAGGGATGCACAAATTTGGGAATTGTGGGTCAATGTCACTTGTATTTGCATATCTGCCAATGCTGATATAAAAATTTAGAATATTTAGTGGGACATAATAATAACAATAATAATAAACAAATAATAATATTAATTTTATTTATATAGCACCAAGCTCACTTAAATATTGGTCAAATCTAAACATATCTGCTGATACTCATATGATCATGGATGCATCAATAAAGATACCGGTATTGGGCCAACACTGTGCTCATTTACTCATACTTCACAGATACCAACAACTGATACCAGCTGATAACATGTGACACAAGCCGAGTGCACACTATCGTGCTAATGAAGAAATGACTCAAGCTAGTAGCTAACAAACATTTAATATACGTTAATACGTTTATTTTTAAAACTGTCTTTGTGAAACAGGCTGTCGAGAAACCAAATATGTCCTACTGTATATATTTCAGCACACAGTGTGGTTAGCCGAGCTGCTGTAGCTCAGTCTCTCAGCGTTTGCTCAGTACTTGGTGCGCAGACGTATTTTGAATAAAACAGCCTTATCTGAAATTGTTTATGGACAGAGAGGGGTTGGAAATCATTTTTTGTCCAGCTGTCACTGTGGCTGTGGATTCCAAAATCTATGAGCCAGTCAATTTTTTCACCAGCAGCTTTCTTGTTTTAACTGGCAGAGTGTAACTGCATGTGAAAAATAATACAAGAGCTATAACAGTCAAGCATGATTATTTAAAGTAAATAGGCCATTTTAATTCATACAGTAAATATTTAACCTCTAACCTCTTAAGGGAAATACTGATATTCTCGCTCTTTCTCTCTAATGCACACACGTACACACACACACACACGGACTGTGCACTGATGGAAGTTAAATTTGATGAGTTGGACAGATTAGACAAAAAACAAACATTACTCCCCCATCCTCATCTCCTATCCCAGTTTAATGTCACTCCCGCTCATCACAAACTGATTAAGTTTCAATGGCAGCTGTATCCTCCAGGGCTAATTTTAATGTATTGTCTTTCTTACCTTCATGTGGCATTTGGATGATTCTTGTTTTTTATGGTTTCCAGTTTTAAGCTTTTAGTGTCTTTGGCATCCATACTGAACATCTAGCTTGTTTTTTGAATTTCATGGAATGTGGAAAGTTAAAAATCGCTCTGTTACGTTTGCATTATTTGTTTGTATATGCTTGTTTCTTTTACCCAACACTGTGGCTGGTAAGTTGAGCAGAGTCACCCAACCATTACTCCGCAAAATGACCTGCATCTGACGGGTGCTAACTGCCAACCCTGTTGTAAAGGCTGCACTTCATGTAGCATGGGCTGAGCGTTTTCATACAGTGCAACTCACGAAAGAACATCTAAACTCACACAGTGCAAAAACTACGAAACGTACTTTACTTACATCTGTACAGAAAAGCTTTCCTGATGTAGAACAAAACCTGCTCCAGGCAGGTAGTCTGTTCTTTTAACTGCACTGTGAAAAGTCACTTTAATATGACATTTACATCTGAAAAGAACCAAAGAAAAATGGAAAAGTCAGAAAGTCAAAAATTAACTCACGCAGAAGGCAAGAAATCTGAACTTAGTCTTCTTCTTCTCTTTCCACGTCCTGTGTTCATGTAGTATATGCATTTAAAGAACCCTCCAATCTCTGAATTCTGAAAAAAGACAACTAAGTTTCCAATGATATCCACCATCACTTAAAGAAGCTACAAAGACAATTTTAATTACATTTTTATTAAATATTGAAAAGACAGTTCACCAAGTTCTTCAGATTTTTTTCTAATGAAGTGTAAAATATGTTTCTAACTGGAAAATGAATGATGTCTTCAACTCAATTCAACTTCATGGTTTAAAAGGCCGGACTTGATATTCAGTGTGGGTATTACCACCATTGCACCTCATAACAATTAGCCTTGCTATGTTAAAGTTCTCAGTGCATTAACCCCCAGCACGTCATATTTAGATGTGCATCAGCAGTGTAACACCACCAAATATTAATATTATATCAATCTCAGGTAAGCATTAGGTAATTGTGGAGCAACTGCCCAGGCAGTGTAGGGCAATGTAATCAATGTTGTTGATGACTGACCAGTAACCCAATGGCAATGCATAATGGATTTATAAAGTGACTGATTTAACTATTGATTCAAATGTCAATCATCATGAGTTTTAACTAGAAAATACTGTGTAATTATTTTTAGATATCGCCCAGGCCTACACTGTAAATTTTTGTCTTGAAGAAAAATTTGTGTCCCAAAATTACTATTCACTAAATGATGAATGTGACCAACAGCAAGCACACCACAGCAATGGAAATTCTAAAAAAGCTACTTACTGCAGCATTAACCAATATGTTATTATAAAATGGAATACAAAACACCATCTTCACCAGCAAGCACAGGCCTGTGTCATACATACTAATTAGCATGCTTTTCTTTCTGGTGTTCAGGTCAACAGGTCAGAGGCTGGGCAAGCAGTGCAGCAGGACGTCCCAGGAGTGGCGCAGCATTTAAAGAACAGGAATCACGCGAAAAAATACAGTGAAATAAACTAGAAAAAAGAACTATACTAACAAAAAGATGCATGACCATTATTAAACAAAACACTAGTTAAATATTTTGTGCTGCAAACACAGTTCCCAGTGGGTCCACCAGTCTTGAAAGGATAGCCCTATCCTAAGTCAGAAAGCTGCCGAGGATAAATAAACATATTGTGCTCCTTTATAAAATGACTGATTTAACTATTTATACACTTTGGAAAAGACTGCCTGCTCAACTCGCATGCTGTAGCCTTCTGCAGTGCAAACAATGTTTTTGTGAACAGCCAGTGCATGCAAACGGAAGCAGTGACTGTGTCGCATCACTGACATTATGCAGAAAAAGCATGTCTGAAACAGGCCTTATTTGCTCATCATACATCCCAGACACATCAACATAACAGAACCATTCACACATCCTTACCATCAGAGTTTGGCTCTTGTGGACAGACAATTTTCCTGAACTGGACTTCGGCAGAAAAGGAAACTCTCTCCTTTTTGGACGAGCAGGTGCTGGTCGCCGTTTACGTGGCTGACTGCAACTCCCCGCAGCCCTCTTTTCTGGTAAAGGCAGCACTTTCAGAGGACTGCCGAACAAGTCATCATCACTGAGATGATTGTCAGGCTCTCCTCTGGGAATTGGGCCTGTTCTTTCTGAAGAGCGACATCTTTTAACCGTCCTGTGCGCCGAAGTGACAGACTGTGTCAAAAACAAGCTGTCTCCAGAGTCGCTGTGGAAAGCAAGACACATGAGAAAAAGGTAAGGCAGACATAAGGGATGGAGAGCGGGAGTGTGTACAGAAAACAAGCGAGTTGTATGATCAAATTTTTGAAGCTGATTGGCGGACTGAGGTCCAGAATAGTTTAGTGACAAAAATTGCTTTCAAATGTATTCCTCTGTGTGATGCTAATTTTTTGTGCAAACTACAGTTTTGACCTAAAAAGGTCAGCTAAATGCTAGATTTATTTTTGGGCACTGTTTTCTTCCCTCCACAGTAAAACAGACATCTGTTCATGAACTCTTTCAGATACTCTGATATCAAAATTAGTCAATAACCAATGAGTTGAACGAGGTGCATTTGAGCAGGGAAATCACTAAACTGTGCTGGACTTCCAGGACCAGAACAGATGATCCCAGATACTGCTTCAGCTCAAGGCTGTCCACTTGCCAATGGTGTATGAAAACCATAAAAAGAAACACTACAGCTTTGTTTTTTAAGCTGGGCATCGCATCCACCATAGTGACTGACTACACAGACGATTCCAAATTGCTGTATGAAAATCTTAGTCATCAAGATGAAGCATTAATTTTTAGCCATGTATAATGAACATTATGCTGCTTTAGACTTGGCTTGGAAGTGGGAAGTCTGTGCTTGGAATTATGCCCTTTTTGACTTTTGCGAGTTCGAGCTACAAAGTGGGGAAAAACATGGACGCCTCTGTGAACGCTAGTATTGTTAGCAACAAGCTAGCCAGCTAACGTTAATGATATGAGTGATAAATGTTAATGATGTACTGAACACAAAGAACATTACGGTATATGATATAAATTTACCCAATATACTGTCTGTATGTTGACGGATCTAAAACAAACATTGCAAAGTAGAGAAGTGGTATTTTATTACTATTGACAGTGTGAACAGTGTGCCATACAATGACCTCCATCCTGACTCTCTGAGTAGGAATTCCCAGTTAAGGGGCGTTTTCTTTGATTATTCCTAGCCAGATATAGGAAATTCCGAGTTGCGAGTGTCAGCATTAGAACCAGTTGTGTTGGAGGCCACTGTTTCTCATCCCAGTCATCAGGGCAAACCAGACAGTTCCACATTTTTACTCCAACCTAACGTGTTGGCATCTGGATAGAGCAAAAATGTGGAACTGTCAGGTGGACCCCAAATACTGGGTTAAAGGGGGTTTCCACTGATTTTTTCAAAACTTTCTGCGCAATCCAATTGTTGAGATGCAAACAAAGTCATTCAAAGTGGTTTGATAGGAAATGGTTCATTGTAGAGAAACTTACTGACTCCAGTTTCTTTACAGTGCTGGTGATAGGAACTTGGGGTCACAATGTCCACAACACAAATACAACAACTTTATTTACTACCAGTGAACCTGCATATTAATAAGTGTTTTGTGAAATAACTTTGTGAGGGAGGTTTTAGACGCATTAAACGCCTTAGACATCTGGCTACGATCACCAACACTGTGAGCCATTCTGACTCGTTAGTTTCTCTCCAGTAAAGCATTTCACATCAAAGCACTCTAAATAATGACTGTTTACATCTTAATTGATTTAATTATGAAGAAGTCTTATAAAAATGGTGGAATTTCCTTTTAAGAAACAACGCTGTAGCCTACATGCTGATCAGCCTGAAAGAGGTGAAAACAAACGTAAACACAGGGACGAGGGGAGTTTTATGTTGTTGGCGCTGAAATTTTAAGCAGCCTATATGTGACGTAACCGACGATGTCATGCAACATGATTTGCCTTTTTCTGTTGATTTGGCTAATTTACATCAAACAGAACATGTCATATAGTGCTACAACGAGGCACGCGACGACAATATATACATCTAATTAACATATGATCGTCTCTTAAAATTTAACAATGATTGTACAACGAACCGTAAGTCTGATCAATAAGCTACACCATTCCCAATCAGACCGAACAATCCGGAGGTGGAACGGTGTCGATATCACAAAAACTGCGGGACCAGTTAGGACAACAATCCAGGAGGAGGAGGAGGAGAAGAAAACTATAGATCGGATTACGATAGTGTTGCGCACTGACAAGCGTGCATGTCTCCATACTGCACTCAAATTACTATGAAATTCAGATCGTGTTATTATTGTTGTTGTTGTTGTTAACAATTGCAGTCCTGGAATTTGGGGGCACTGCAGCACCTCAGCAGCCCGCGCCCCCGCGTGTACCCTAAACAAGCAGCAGCGAGCTGCACCGTTAGCTAAGGGCGGAACGGAAATGCGATGAAGACGGTATCTCAGCGTCGCTCTCTCAGGCCTAAAGGTCCCGAGCGGAGCGCGTCTTACCTGTCTGAGAACAGTAACGGCGGCTTAGCAGTCGAGCCACTGAATCCGCTCACAGTGGCTTCAGAAAACTCCTCTGAGATCACGTCGGTCGGAGGAGTTTCGAAGAACACATCAGTCTGAGAGTCGAGCTGCACGAGCTCGCTCTGCATTAACAGCTCTAAGATACTCGGCATGGTCCGCGGACTCTTCGGAGGCCAGACCTCCGCTTCTCTCAGGTTACTGATCGATACCCACGAGCCAGTCCACTCTTTCAGCAGTCTTCTCCTCCGCTCGGCTCGCTGCTCGAGCTGTTTCGCGCGTTACAGCACACACGTCCGCTTTCTGTTGTTTCGGGGAGCAGGAACGTGAAGGCGCCTGTGGGCGGAACCTTTCTAGGAAGCGCCAAAGTGACGACAACACCGTCTACGTAGGGCGCGTTCCATACCAAATAGACTGGAAGGGGTGATTAATAAACACACAGAGAGACCACTGAGATATTTCCTTTTGTGTGCGACACCAAGCAAAGCCCCGGCCAGTAACACGTTACTGATACTGTAAAAAGTCTTGTCATCCGTGTAAAAAGGGGAATTCTTTGTGGTTCTACATTCAAAAAATGTTTGCGTTAGTATTTAATAGATTGCAACGGCCAACTGACCGTTTTTGGTTGTGTTAAATACATACATCATCTAAACCGCTTATCCTTCTGGGTCGCGGTGGGGTGCTGGAGCCTATCCCAGCCGTCATTGGGCGGAAGGCAGGATACACCCTGGACAGGTCGCCAGTCCATCGCAGGGCAGACAGACAGACATACACATTCACACACATTCACACCTAGGGGCAATTTAGCATGTCCAATTGGCCTGACTGCATGTCTTTGGACCGTGGGAGGAAACCGGAGTACCCGGAGGAAACCCACGTAGACACGTGTAAACTCCTGGAGTTAAATAATTCAGAACATTCAGAACATTCACATTTCTCATGGCTGTCTGTATGAGTCCTATGAGGAGCTAAGGACGAGGGCGGAAGGAAAAATAGTTCCTATCCCACACATTTGCTACGATAGTTTTTTATTTATTTTACGGACGCAAAGAAAAATGAATTGATCTTTCTTCATTTTAAATGAAAAGATTCCGTTTATGATTAAAACACACTATATTAATATTATAATATTGATACTTCAGTATTGATCCGCCACTCCAAATGAAAATCATGAAGGTATCCTTTTGTTTATTTATCTATTTATTTACTCACCCATTTGCTTACTTACTTCCATGGCTGAATCGTTAAGTGTTGAAAATGACATTTCGGGATATGCAGAATATAATATTGTTACCAGCTGAAAAAAAAATCACAGAAACTATTAAAGGTTTAAGTTGGTTCCAGACAATGGTCACTAATGGTATTTTGGGTTTTTCCTGATGGGTTGATATCAAGGTGTAAAGGATCCTAACGGTTTAACAGGTGTTCTGTGACTGATTCTAAATGCATCTGATGGTCTTCTAACGGGATTTAAAAGTGTCATACATGAAACTAGTGGTCTCTTGATTGTAAACAAAAAGCCAATTCCCATTAGGAAGCAAAAACACATCCGATTTGAATCCTAATGGATCTGAAACTCTTCTTCTTCTGTTGTACACGTTGTCAAAATGAGTCTTCATCTTGTTTTCAGCCCCATCTGAAACTCCAACTACGTAGGAGGGTGCAGAAATATGCGAAAAACTTTGTACAAAGTAGCAAGCCACGCCCAGTCCAGTAGAAAACGTTTCCTACTCATGAATCGCAGGCTCAGTGAACGCGGCCCGTCAGCGTATCGGTCCTCGTCAAAGCTCCGGGGCATGTGATCAGCTTGTGGAGCAGAGCTAGCTGTGCTGACTGAAGGATGGCAGACAGGAACAAGACCGAAAAGTTCCAGTTACATGTTCCCAGTCTGGAGGAGTTATGTCAGGGTAAGGGCCCGTGTGCATGTTTATCAATGCAGAAAGGGAGAAATCGCCGCGCATTGTTGTTTTCTTTCGCTGCAAAGGAGTGTATTGAGCTTATTGTGTCCTCGGACAAAGTTCAACATCCCACACTGAGGTTTTCGGTTAAACTGTACTTTGTGCTTGGAATCCCTGTCTGACCTAAAGTTAAAGGCTCTGATTTAATGCCAGTATATTTGTAGTCTTTACAGTGTTAAAGGGGAATTCCACCGATTTTTCGAAATTTCTCCATAATTAAATGGTTGAGAGGTAAACAGAGTCATTCAGAGTGATTTGGTGTGAAGTGCTGTTCTAGAGAAACTTGCAGAGTCAGGATTGTTCACAGTGGTGGTGACAACAGCCGGACGTCTGAAGAGTTTAAAGCCTCTGAAAGCTCCCTAACATAAAGTTATTACATGAAAGGGTTAGACGTACACTTTCAGATATCTGGCACATTGTATTATGGTAAGGTTTTAGCTTAAAATGTATTTTAATCCATTCATGCTGGAGTGATGCATGAAGGGCACTGTAAGGCAAAGTAGTCCTCAAACACCACTTATTTTTTCAGATTTATGATTATTTTACCATCATAAACATTACATATAAAACTCAGAAGACACATCTAGGTTCACTGGTGGTTTTGGATAGTAAATAAAATAGTTATATTTGAGTTGTAGACATTATGACACCTGGTTCCTATCACCACCACTGTAAAGAAATCTGAGTCTGTACGTTCCTCTACAATGAACCATCTCACATCAGACCTCTCTGGACTGTTTACATCTCAAGGACTGAATAATTCAGAAATTGTAAAAAAATGGTGGAATTCCCCTTTAAGTAATCTCCATTGATCTTTAACAGTGCTAGAAAAAGGACTGAGGAAGAATTTTGAAGATGCCAAAGTTTGTGTGGCTGAGTGCCCAGACCTCACACAAGAACCGTTCCAGTTTCCTGTTAAAGGTATGTACAAAACCACACAACAGGGGAAAACTAATTGAATTCTGCATTAATGTAGCTGTTTTCAACATTAGACTGAGTTCAGCTATTATGGTTCACTTAAGGTACACTTACACTTTCTAAATGAGTAAAAAAGATACTGTAAATCAAACAACAGAAATAAATTCAGTGGGAAACTGATAAAGGATGGATTTATCACTCACTGGCAATACTATGCCATCAATACTAAACACATTGTCCTGTGTTACTTGAACCCACCCTACTTCTCCATCCTACTATGACACTGGCTGCTTTTCCTCTCTTCTTCCAAAGGGCTTTGTGGTAAACCTCGCATTACCGATGTTGGTGGTGTCCCCTACTTGGTACCCGTGGTCCACGTGGACAAGGTCATTTAGCCTAATAATGTTAAATATAGATTTATTAGGCTAAGAGATACTGTACTATTGGTGGGGATGGGCAACATTTATTGTTTTGATAAATTATGTCACAGTATATTACAGTATGTTTCTCTGAGCATATGGAATCGTTAGTAGTAGAAAACTGACCAACTGCATGTTCATTATGAAGAGAAAAGAGTCATTTTTAATTGGAATTAGTGCTGCACCATATGTGAAGTGTTGAATAAAAAGCATTTGTACTCAGCGTTTTGGTAGAAATTTTACTTTACTGGCAGTACAGGTTCTTTTTTGCCTGTTCTAACTTATCAGATGTCAGAAAAAATAAATATTGTGAGATATTGTGTATCCTGAAATACTGTGATATAATGTTTTTGCAGTGTCACCCACCTCTAAGTATTTGCTCTTCATAATGTAATGAAGAGTTAAGAAATGATTTTATATTTGATGTCCCCCAAGGTGTATAACATGAACACCGTGTCCAAGGAGTTGGAGCTGCCTGGGGCATTTATACTTGGTGCTGGTGCTGTTTCGTCCAAGACTGTTGGAATGAACGCGGAGGTGAAAAGCTTTGCCATCACAACTTACATTACTATGTCACAATGCTTTCCGCAGTTCACTGGGGTGTAATGCTATATATTTTTAGATTCGATATGGTTCTTAATTCGGAGGTCGAGATTCAGTTCAGTTAAATAACTTGATTTGACAGCTCTAATTATATATTACGCAGACTCAGAGGCGCTTTAACTTTCTCATAGGCTCTGGGGTTACAAGTGTTTTTGAGTCATACAGATGTAGTTAAAATCCATAAAATGCACAGGCTGGTTTGGCTCAAATAAACATTCTCAAATGTCACCTTTGTAATGCTTGTCACACCAGCGCTGAAAGAAATAAACCCCCAAAATTGCAACTTCTTGAATTTCTAAGCGACTTCTATAACTGCTGGTGACGGTGACTTGCATGCTAATAGCGCCTCATGCTGGAGAAACTTCAGACTGCTACAGGTACAGAAGTTAATGAGCGAGTTAAGGTGTTTTCTGTCGTTATAGCCGATGCGCTCTGGAATTCAGTTATACTTATGTATACAACTTTACAACTCATCTGAACCATCAGGGCACTTAAGCTGTATGGAAAATGCTGAGAATTTTCCTCAGATAGTAGGTACTACTCTGGGAAACTCTCAGCAGAGACAGTGGAAAATTGTGGCCTAACAACTTATTAAATGTAAGAGGGAGAGGGCCGTATAAGTGACATGGTTTTAAATTCCATTACACTGTTTTGAACATTTGATTTTTGTTCCATACTGTATTGAAATCCTTACACTCTTAGTAGTTCATAGACTTTTTTAATGCAACACAAATGAGACCTTCAAACCTATCACTGTGCCAGCTATTGCTGTGAATCTCTTACTCAGTAATTGCTCTGTTACTTTTCAAAGCTGATGCCTCTGGTGCTCACAGAGTCGGACAGCAGATCTGCCGTCAATGCCAGCTACTTCTCCTCCATCAACCCTGTGGATGAGAAATGTCTGCAGGAGAAATACAGTGATAGGTTCCATGACTGTGACTTCGGGCTACTTGCGAACCTTTACGCATGTGAGGGTAAACCTGGGAAGGTAAAGAAAAACCACAGGCAGATATTAGCGGTGTGCTGATCAGATAAGGCAGATCAGTATCGGCACCGTTACTGACCTTATCAACCAAATCGCACATCTTACATCTTTACTGCATATTAACGTTTAGATTTATTTGCATGACATTATGGTTATGATGTGATCAAACATCTTAAACTACGGTACATTTTGCCATCTTCAAAATATATTTCTGAGCATGCTTATACAGTACAACAGTTGCTCTCAGGTGCAGTCACAACACCTTCTCTTATTTTGTTAATATGATACACCTCAACAGATAACTGTTATGGGAGTGGTTCAAATAAAACAATCAGCTGGTAAAAGCTGGATCAGTACATTCCATAGCACACATCGTAGTGAATGTGAAAGTATGGAGAAACAAGTATAAAGACTAAACCAGTGGTCACCAAACCTCTTCCTGGAGATCTACTTTCTTAATTCCAACCTGCATCTAAAATGATCCAGCCAATTGAGGACTTAAGAAGAAATCATATTAGCTGGAGTAGGTGTGGTAGATGATGGACTCCACAGAAAGGTAGCTATTCAGAACCTGTGTTAGTGATCACTGTTCTAAACAGCATTCCCATTACAAAATCCAGCCGGATATTTGAAGGTGGGAGTACGCTATATGTGACATACCTGAAATGTTACCCATTCACTTGTTAAACGGGTTATTTAACCAAAAATGATATCTACCTATCCATCATGAAGAATACTGACCTTTGATTGCAGCATGAATGAATAACTATAGTTCAGACCTGAATTAGTAACTAGTAGTTAAAAAAAAACTGCTTGGTCACAGGTCATTGAGGTCAAAGCCAGCAGGAGGACAGGAGACGAGAGTCTTGTGAGCTGCATGAGGAAAACCATGGAAGAGCACTATGGTGACAAAACCCTGGCTCTTGGGGGGACCTTCATCATCCAGAAGGGGAAGGCCAAGATTCACATCATGGTAAAGAAAAATGACCTGAAACATTTGGGCAAAAAATTTCAATTAACATGTTGCAAAGTTCTAGTTATAAGATAAAGTTATATATTTTTATATATAATATATTTTGAGTGAGTATATACGGCAAACTCAGATCTTGAGGCCTCAGCTTTGCAGAGATCAGTGTTTTCCTGTAACTCTTCAGATTCAAGTCATGAAGACCTTGCTAATTAGCTGAGGTAAAACTCGGTTAATCCAGATCTTTAGATCGAAAACAGTCTCATTGAAAAAATGCCTGGTTTTACTGCTAAAAAATAGTTATATACATAGTTATTTATATACACTTTAATATAAATTGTTTGGTACACAACGCAGCATTCTTTCCATCTTTTAATTGTAGCCACGAGAGTTCTCTTCGTGCCCCCTGAATACTAATGAAGATGTGAACAACTGGTTGAAGCACTTTGAAGTCAGTGCTCCCCTCATCTGCCAGTCTGTCATGGTGTCCAGAGATCCAGTGAGCATCACTCTATTAACTCTCCCATTTTTGACTATTGTTTAGGTCGACACCCATAAGTGTATTCAACCTTAAACCAGCATTCTTCATTTGTATGGAAATTTGTAAGTAATTAGTAACGTATAGAACTGCAGTGGAACTTTAGAACATCCAGTATCTAACAGCATAGGAACAGCTATTCTTCTCTTTCTGATGCACTCTTGGTCTAAAATAAAAATGATAAACCTCCAGAGTGAGAAGTGTGTCCAGTCACGAAACAAAACAGATGCAGTACACTATTTGGCTGTAGAGGCTAGAATTTCAAAAATTCCTCAGTACACTATCAAGGCATTGTTTTCAGTACCTTCAGGCATCGTGTGGGTTTGGTAGTATTTCTTGGCTGAAACACGAACATTTGAAGTATGTAAGCCATTCAGGTGGCATTCTTTAGGCTTCTATATTGCCTATATATCACGTATTGTTTTACATGTTGTGTAGCATGTTTGCTATCTTTTAGCCTGTTAGCTAACTGACCAGCCTAGTTCTAGTTAAGAAAATAAGTTGTCAGCCCATCAGTTTAAACAAAAAAATGGGTTCTTACTTTGTCAGTACACTCTGTGGTCCATGCGAGCAGCATTAGATTCAAAGATTCAAACTTACTGCATTTACAGCATGAAGATTTTTCGTGACGTCATGCAGTAATACAGATTTCAGCTGCTGTGAGGCAGTCATAAGTATGCATATATCGAGTATTTTACAGCAGCTTCAAACGCAACTCACCCAATGAGATCTTAGGACCAGAAACACCTGTTTTGTAATTAGTTGTCTCATTTTTAAACTAAAATGGCCCCGGCCAACCCTGTCCATCAACATTTTACTTGAGTACATGGAACTGAGTGAATGTAACTTGTTACTACCTGCCTCTGTTCACTGTCCATTTGTTTTTCAACAGGGTTTGGATTTGAGGCTGGAGCACACCCATGGCTTCAGCCATCACGGTGAGGGAGGCCACTACTACATAGACACCACACCGAACACAGTGGAATACCTGGGATACTTTCTGCCTGCAGAGTTCATTTATCGCATTGACCGGCCAGCGGAGACTCATGGTGTGGGCAGAGACTGAATATATTATCAAACAATTCTTTTACAAGTATCACAGTGATCGTTTGTTAATGAATCATGAAACCATGAGCTTATAACACTTGCACTTATATGTTCAATAAAGATTCCTGGTTAAATGGGTTTTCCTTTTTGAATGCATCTAATAATTCATTAATTATTAAGAATATACAGTACTGTGCAAAAGTCACCTTTAAAGTCATTTGTTTGGACAAATACGAGTGTTTTTGCTTGTACAAACACCATGTAACTTTAGAAAAAAAAACATTAATGCACTGCCAAGAAAGTTGTTTTCAAAAATGTAGTTGATATCTTAGAAAAAAGTTAGAAGAACAATATTTGGTTCCAGATTCGTCTTCAATACCATCACATGGATTTGTTCAATTCCACCATCAGCACACCTGATTTTATTTAATGAAGCACTGATTAGCCAAACCAGGTATTGGATTATACCTATACATAATACTGGGCGTCCTCAAGGTGAGGTTCGGAAATTGTTAAGCAAACACGTTGACACACATAACATTGATGCTTTTTGTATTAATATTATTCATTTTCATTCTAATATTACTGTTTGCAAAGCAAAACGCTCACTGACCAGATTAATCGTTTTTTTAAATCTAATTTTCTCAGACTTTTGTACAGTACTCTATGCAGGGTTGCCACCAGTCCAAGATTTTTCTCGATTGTTCTGGATTTTGGTTTTTGGTCCAGGAAAAAATGAATTCCATTCCTGAAAACAAGCATTTTATAATCATTTCTTCTAAAGTTTAAACTGTTTCTTTGTATCCAATCAAACCATTTATACACAATGTGTTTGACTGGTTCAAATTACTCTCAACCTAGGAACAAGTGTTTTGTTAAGGTGCACTGTTTGTGAAGTTTAAGCAATATGCCTCACTGCAAATAACTGATAACTGCGATAACTGATAAGAATAGGTTCATTAGCTGAATGGACATCTATCTACCCTAGATTGAATTTGGAGCATAGCTACGCATCCAATGAATTAAAATAAATAATAATAATAATTCAAGCCACTAACTGAATGTCCATTAGCCTAATTTTACAGGGCTGAAGTGCTATGGAAGCCAATTTCCACCATTGGAAAAAAAAACAGTCTTTTAGTAAGTCATAATAATGATATATGTCATAATTTTTACTTATTATCTCATAATAATGAGATTCCTTCTCAGAATTATGACTTAGTATTTAATAATAATGACTCAGCATCTCATGTGTATGACTTACTTTCTCATAATTGTGACTTAGCCCATCATAATTATGATTTACGTTCTTACAATTATAACTTAGTATCTCATAATAAGATTCAATCGCGTAATTACGACTTACTACTTCATACTTATGACTTTCTCATAATAATGACTTACTATGTCTTAATTAGACACACACTATGCGTTTGGCTTCGCCTCAGTCTTTTTGTTTCGTTGCTCGAAGACTTTTTCCCGCGCACCACAAAGCAAATCCAGCTCGCGAAGCACAGCGAGAGAGCTGCTAACGGTGTGGCTAAGCTAACCGTTCCGCTCTATTGCCGGAGCTTTACTCATCATTTCCACACACAGTTTTATAAAGTTTGTCGTAAAGATTTTCAAAATGTATGTTTGACGTTCTACGGAACCCGAATCTGTTCATTTTAAACAAATTTGCTTCCGCTAGCTTGTCCCGCTAACCGCTACGTAAGCTAAGTCAAACTACTCACGTTCGCCGGTGCGGTGAGTACCTTAGTTAGCACAGCTAGCTCGCTAGCCAGTTTGCCACATGTAACGGCTTAATTTCAGTACTGGAAATTTGTTGCTACATAAACTCTAATGCTACTCCTGTAAGCCGAGCAGTCCATGTGTTCATTATAGGTCAGCTGTTCATGCTACGGCATCTTTAAGGTTATCGTCGTGGAGAAAAGCTAACGTTACCGCACTACCATGAAGAGAACCGATAACCAGCCGAGGCCAACGGCAGGTAGGTTACAATAACCACCCAGAACTGCTGTACAGTCACTGTCCACCTACTGTGTGTCTTGACTCATTGTCCAGTTTATCAGGTCCAATTCCAGCTGCAGTTTATAGTTCTACAGTTACAGGTTGTAGTTCATCCGTTTCTCTGCATACTTCGTTAAATAAACTTTATTCGGGTGATCGGTGGTCAGGGCCGCTACTGAGCAGGCGTTACTTGGCTTGTGGATCATTCTTAGCACTGTAATGACACTGACATGACACAGCAGTGCAGTTGGAGTTTTTACACACTGTGAAGACTCATTCTACTTTATTAGACACACCTAATTTGCTGGTTGACCTTACATGAAACGTGAGAGATGATGACTCATCTGTTGCTGCTTCATCAGTGACCAGTTTCTGCCCACAGTACTGTGTGTGATCTGCTCTGTGTAGCACACGCGCGTCTATGGCAAGCCGTTTTGGTCTAAAACACATCTGTCAGGATCCAGTCCACACTGCAAATTTCAGCACACCACCTCATTAAACACACCGTATTTAGCTCATCAGCTATTTAGCAAGCGCTTCATGCACTGAATTCATAAAGCTGGATGAGTGTAAACACTAATCTCTGCAGCATTTTGACCCGGAAGGTCACCAGTTTGACTTGCCTGGTCTAAAATGACACCAGCCATGCAAGTTGTAACTCTGTTTTTACTAGTGAAAACTCAAATTCGAGAGCTAGTAGAAATACTAATTCAAGATATCTTTAATTTATTTATGAGTAGTTATAATATGCATTAGAGATATGTATAGATTTATATCTCTAAAATGCAGTTGTAGATATCTAGAATTCAGTTTTGACTAGTAAAAATATTATTGATATCTAAATGTAGATTTTTTTAACTAGTCAAAATGCAGCTTTGACTAGTAATAACTATTTTTTAACTCTATATGTAAGAAACATCTGTAATTACAATTTGACTAGTATTAATTTCATTAGAATGAGTAATAATTAAAAACAAGATAACTAAAAGTTAATATTAGTCGTAATAGCTTTACAGATGTCTTCAGTTAAGTTACTGAGAATTCAAATACAGTTTAACAGGTCTACAATTCTAATTCTTACTAGTCATAATTGTTTCAGATCTCTTTGGTTTAATGAATACATAAACAACTATGAGATTTGCATTTCATGCATGTTTATGAGAGAGACATCAGGCGGGAAAAGGGTGGTTTATGTGCAGCAATCAGTGCAGGGCACAAGGGTGCATAATGTGCAAATATAGTATGTGGACCTGATAAAGCAAAATAACACTAAATAAGTACCCAATTAAGTGACAGTGAGGGTTTTTTTCCCCAATTATTGTATTTTCTCTTTTACACTATTGGACATTAACTTACTTGGATTTTTGCGTTTGCAGTCTGCAGATTCATGTGTATTTTTTATAAACTGTTATTGATGGGAAATAGCTTAAACGTCTCATGCCATTTCTGTGTTTATGTACAGGCTGTCTGTCTGTACCACTGTTTAACCAAAAGAAAAGGAGCAGATTGCCTTTGACTTCCAGTCCCTCTGAGAATAAAATGTTCTCTGGTAGTGATTTCATGCAAACGCACAATTTAACTCCAGGCTCTCATTCAGCCGGTAAGTTCCCTAATTAATATCAGATATTAACAGTACAAAATGAGCTAGTTACTACACGTAGCTGTCTCCTCCAGCAGAAAGTACTTTTTCAACACACATACTGTATTTCATGCACATTTTTCCAAGAAAAAGGAGACTGAGTAAAATTTGTTGCTTTTGTTTAGGTAGCATAGGGTATGTTCAGGCATCAACAAATCGAACACCTTTAGCCCAGAGATGTGAATGGAACCAGCAAGCCAACCCACAACCTCAGCAAACCAAGGCTTGGCCCACTACTTCTTCTGGCACAACAGGATGGGGATACACACCTATACCTTACCCATATAAACCCCCCTATGCTAGGTACATGCCAGTCTACCTGATGTCAAGCCATTATAATGTTTGTTTCTGCATGATAAAGTAAAAAAAACATGTGAACTGAGACTAAATGCCTCTTCTCCAGTGCTGTGCTATTTTCCAATAGACTTTGCACTTTCAGGTTACAGACAGGACCGCAGAGACCTCAAGGTAAACAGGATTCCATGGCAACGAATCAAGGCTTCAGGCAGGATGGATTCCAGAGTGTCAGTGGAACCAGTCAGGCCCATCCTAGACCATTCATTGGCGAGCAACCCATGAAGCAACAGTCTTTCACCAGTCAGACCAGTTTAGCCAGAGTGTCTTCTACCCCTCAGCAAGTTTTGTCTTCTCCAACATGCAGCCAGGGAGCTGGGGATCATCAGAACGCCCAGTGGAAGTTCAAAACTGTTGGCCATACGACTGGTGGAATGTGGGTTGAGGATACTTTTGACACTTCAAGAACTGAGAGCAGTTTACAGCAGCAGGTAGACCATTTTGACTAAAGTAGACTGAAGTCATGTAATGTTCCATTCTGAAATTAGGCAACCATTAGTAAATTACAGCCTACATACTAATGTGCAATAGTAATTACAGAATTGTGTAACACAATGATTTATGTTACATGCAGTACCTCAGCTACATACTGTATTATTTCTTGAGACATAAGCATTTCTGCATGTCGTTATTGTGCACTGTAGAAGTCTGCAAGGCTGGAAACAAAGCCAGCAACTGAGAAATCCCTGCGAATCCTCACAGCTGTTATTGAGGGCATGAAACATTGGAGCCAGTTCAACGACAAAGTGCCTATGTTGTTTGAGATTTTTGGTAAGTGCTCATGATTTGATAATAGATTTTGTTGATTAGTCTGCTGTGCTCTGACCTATCAGTCCTGCAAAGCACATAAGGTGAATATAGGAATTGACATGCTAGATGGATCATTTGTAACATAGTAGACCTTTGCTAATTAAGATTTAATTCAGGCTATGATGAAGCATCTTTTTCAGTATTAGTCCACTGTGGTCAATCAATCTTGTCTGCTGTTACAGCCACTCTCGACTCTGCAGTCACAGTTGGAAAATATGGTGCTAAGAACTTCCTTATGCGGAATGGAAAAGATGTGGTGCCATGTGTATACTATGAAAATGTGAGTACAGTTCCTCTAGCTACAGTTCCTACAAGAACCGCAGTGATTGCTCATAACATCATTCTGCAACAGCACACCTACAGCCGCTCACCTACAGTTGTTATTAATCGCTTTTATGTGCTCCAGGCTAATAGAATTCACATTCATAATGCCTGAATGTTTGAGAAGACTGGGTCAAAGGGTACTGTTCAAAAAGATGTCTAGATCGAGCCCATGATCAACGCTGAATAAGTTCACTTGTGCACAGTGTGTCTGCTCTTCACACAGTAGTTCTCTGCTCAGAGCTGGAATAAATCAATGTGAAATTGGCACAACTACATTTTATCTGCATGACAGCACAGCGAGCTAGGGTTGATGTAATAGGAATTGATGTGTCTGCAACGCTTTCCTATTCACAGGTATAATTAAGTTTCAGAAGGCATTGATTATCAGTCATGCAAACATTTTGTATTAATGACCTGATATTATTACTTGTTCCAAACCAAGATAATTGGCTCACTCATATTAGCTAGGGGGTGTTCGTTAAAGCTAACTAATTCAGTTCTTATCACCTTTGTCCTCAGCCCTGTATCTCTTTATCTTTCCGTATTCTGTGCCTTACAGGACCAGGTGCTTCCTAGGCTGATTCGTGGGCAGGTGCATCGCTGCGTAGGAAACTATGACAGACACAAGAACGTTCTCACATGTGTGTCAGTGCGGCCCACCTCTTCCTTAGAGCAGAGAAACGCCCAGGAGGCTGTGAGGATGTCAGACACTGAGATGAGAAATGTGGTCCAGGCACTTACTGAAATGTAATTCGAAGAGGAGGTGAAGGGACAGAATCGAGTAGGAGAATTTTTAAGTTGACGTACAAGTTGACTTTGTTTCATTTTAGTTGAAGATTAGTTCAAGATGAAGAATATTATACAGGTTCGTATAAAGCAGTGCCAACTGTGCTGATTCCTCTCAAATCAAAATACAGTTTGAAGTTTTGTTTTTTTTTAAATATAATTTGTCTTAATTGACCACATATTGGTATATTCATTCATCAGTTAAAAGTACTGTATAAGTCGTATTTACAATAGATCATAAAAGCTTAAGACTATGGTGCATGTTAATCTTGAGAACACAAACAATGTCAGTTTTCTTTGTTAACGAAACATTGAAACGTTTTATTACAAAGGGAATACACATAACAGCAAGTCTTGTTGAGGGTCAAGATTCAAACAAACACAATAATGAGGTAATATTTCAAAATATATCTTTCAAAAAGGGGACCAACCATTTGTAGCATGAATAGCCATCTTACATAATTATTTACAGCCAAAACCACACAATGGAAAAATCAGTACAGCTAATCTACAGAATCTGTTAGAGTGATCAGATTTCACGTACATTATTACAGACAAAAGGGATCACTGTGCCTAAGGTTAATATAAATTACAGCATAATCTGAGCTTTTTGGGAACATATGCATGACTACATATAACGTTTTCTCTTCAGAAGGCTTCTTTGATGTTCATTAGTGCCTTTTCAAATTAGTCTGTTAACGTACACAGGCAATCAGTGTAAGTTTTGGAAATTTTAAAAAACATAAAACGTCAAAGGTTTAAAGGCATACACTTACACTTTGGGGGAAATTTTGTTCAGTTGGCTTTGTTCAGAGTCAAATGTCACTGCATGCTTAATCACGTTAATGAAAGGACGGAAGGAAGAGGGGAAGTTAGCTGAGAATTCATCATACTCATTTTGCCATTCTGAACACATTACACATGAAGACAGCAACAGAAAATAGAGAAATGATGGCCAGGTACAGCTTGTAAAGTTGTTGAGCACTGACAATCTCCGTTTTGCTGTATTTTTGTGCAGGGTTAATGCTTTAGTAATATGCCACAATCTCCTAATTTAGTCGTTAAACTAAAACTCATCGGGCCTCATTCACCAATATTGTCCTAAGTTTTTTCTTAAATTTGATCTTGAGAAAGGTCCTAAGAAAAAGTCTACGTCAGATTAATGATGTGTTCTTAAACTGCAGAATTGTTTGCACCTTTGTGCTCTTGAGTGTGTGTAGATTCTCTTCTTACCCAGGAACAAATCCCAAATAAGAAAACATTGGTGAACGTCAAAATCTTTGTGAAAATTTAAGACGAAATTTCTTATTAAGAACGGTTGGTGAACGAGGCTAACTAATGTGTTTAACTTACAAACGTGTTTCAGCACAGACAAGACCATTTTACTTGCCCTGATAAGTACAGAAGCGCCTTTCTGTTCTGTTAACTCATTCATATTGTTCTTCTTTTCTGCTTTTAAACACCTTGTTTCTGCCCTTTTTGATCCCCTTTTACATTCTAGATTGTATAGATCTTTAAAGCATCAGCACATACAGGCTAAATGTGAACTTGCTGGAGTTACAGTATGAATGATTTACAACCAAAATAATCCCCTTAGCAATTATAACAAACCAAGACATATACAGAAATGCACAACACAGTGGGAAATAAACAAGGAAGCATTTACAAAACCACAGTTTCAGCAGAAGTAGGTAACCTGATAAAAGGTATTGAAGTCTTTTTAGTCATGGTAAAAAGGCACAAGTTGGTTAGGGCAGAAAGTGTTTTTTTTTATTTTTATCTTGTGTCTTAGTGTTGATTAAGCCCAGCTTTATGTAATTTTGTAATTACGGTGTATTTATTTCTTTGCCTTCTCCTGATCTTGTATAATCCTGAATATTAAGTTTAATGGAAGGTTTAAGTACAAAACAGACAGCATGACTTATAGCTGTAAGCTTCCTGTTGAAATGCTTAGGAAGTAAGGGCAACCTTGGACACACGGATTTCAGGGTTTTAGATTTCAGGTCATTCGCTATTACAACACAGTTTTAGTGGCAAAGAATAGTCACTGCTTGTATTGGGTGGCCGTACTGTAGCCATATGGATTGTTTCATTAAGAAATGAAGTGATGATGGCCTCTGCAGCTACATTAGCCATTTTCTCGCTGCTGCTTGGAGATCCACTGAGTAGTCACAACCCACGATACAAAACAAAATAGAAAAAACACTGTTGGAAACCAATCTGTGAAACTGAAATATTTTATGGATGGAGCTTTTTGTTATTCTGCCCTCTTAGCCCATGAGCCACAGTGTTGGTAGTTATAGGACTGCATTAGGCAGTGAATGTATGGCAAAACTTCTAAAAATGTTGAACCATTTTGATTTTTCATTGAGATCCCAAATCCAGTTTTTTCAGCAGTTTGCTCCATAAGCATAGCCAAAAGAAACAATCCTCCATAGTCAGTAGATCCATGAACAGAATTTTTGTTCTCTCCTATAATTTTGCTCATCCTGTTTAGTTAACTATTACTTGAGGATTCCTTGCTTTCCTTCTGAAGTTCCAGACAATCCCTGATGTTTGGCAGGATGCTTCTCCTTGTCCTCTCACTCTCTGCATGTAGACTTGTCTTAGGTATAAGCCCTGTAGGTGGAGACTATTTCAGAATGCTAAATTTACTGTTTGTGCAGTTTTGTCTGCCATTTTGATGCATTCATTACCAAAGAACAATCCAATTTTGATGCATCATCTTCCATTTTAGTTCATGTGACCAGGAACATGGGTTAATTTATAGTTAGAGGGGGAAAAAAGATGTGTCAGTTTCCGTTTTAAATCCAAAATGACGTTTCGGAAAATGTTTTTCACTATGAGGGATGCCCGATGTATGGACGTAGCTTATCAAATGAGGGAAGACAATGTAGCACATCACACAATGAAAACAATGGCTCTTCTGGGCACACTTATTCCAAAGTGGCTTCATTATCATCATCATCATCATCGAAAACAAAAGATAGGGAAACGCAGATCTGCTTCCTAGAATTGAAAACAGATAAGACCAGACACAATGCGCATGGCAGAGCCTTTATAAAAGTGTGGGCAGCGGGGTGGGAGAAAGCTGCTCTTTGGGGGCGTACTTGGCAAAAAAGGGTAGAAATAGGGTGAGCATTACGCCCACTATGGCCAACATATAGCCCCAGCCTATCTGGCACTCCCCAGCATAGTAGATGTCGGAGTCTCCGCAGAATGACTTGACCAGGCTGGAGTTTAGGCCAAAAGGATACACCAGCAGACCAGATGCCATGATGAACACTGCAGAGAAGAAGAAAAGAGGGACAGGATTAGTTCAGTCATGGTCCTTCTACAAGGGCTGTCACTAAAAATGATATTATTTATTACAAAGCTACTGATTATATTGATGATTAATCAGAACCTTTCTAAAAGGCCAACCCATAAAAGTGAACTTGCTATCAAATTTGTTCTTAGCTTCTCAAACGTTGCAAAATACTTCAATTGAAAAAGATAAACTGGGTGACTGGCAACTATAAGAGAGATGAACAGGAGAACTGAAAATTACCTCAATGGCAATTCACTAAGAAGGTACATTTTAAAAAGTTTTTTGAATAATTATGACAACCCTAAATACAAGTCAGAATAGCTTATTCAAACTCTGGGAGACACAATTTCTGAGTTTGTTGGCAAGTTCTCCAAGATTTAGTAAAACGTTTTCTGTGAACTGATAAAAATCTGTTACTAATCTCCCTGTCACCAAAAGCAAATGATTGCTTGGACTATGACTTTATAATCTGTTCATTATATAACCATCTCTTAGAATAACAAAATATAATGGCACATGAATCAGCAGTGACTTTCTATGTATGTGGCCCTTTAATGAATTCTACTGTAGTGGCATACTATATCCTCTTGGTGGCGGTAGAGTACTTACACAGTAGTACACAGAAGCATTAGCAGTTTGTGGTTAGAGCATGCTAAACCTCTGTCAATACATCCACAGCTTTCTGTCCACTTGCGCCATGGAAAATATCCAGTAGATTGGAACACAAAAACTAGCTGCCAAGCCAAATAAAAAAAAGAAATTTATAGCTCATGATAGAAAATAAACCTTTTTTAAACGAGTGCTTCTGTTTTACAACAGTGAAGTAATCCGTTTGGAGACAGCCATCACGTCATTGGTCTTCTCAGACAGCACCAGTTTGGGTTTGTCATTGATTATGCACTACTGTATTAGCTATGCATGAGCCATCATGATGTCTTCATGTTTATTTGAGCTGGGAATACTCAGACAACTGTATTTAAAAAATTAACTTGTCAGACACATCAAAGTAGTAGAACTGTCAGAAAGAGCTGTACATTAGTCACTGACATTAATTAACTTTATATAATGAGGTTTTACCTAATCCGTCTCCTCCACACTGCCCTCTTTCCCTCCTTCCTCTGATGGGAAGACCCAGAGTTCAGGTCTGTGTAGACCGGTCTGTGAATATCAGTGGGGGTCTGGCAGTTTAAAGCCTGTCTGCTAATGATGCCATAATGGCCTTCTTTATCAAACCGCCATTTACACAAAGACACAGTGAGAGACCTACGCGCCTTCTCCGAAAACACAACAGCTGACAGCAAAAGGAGAAGAACCACCAAAACGCCTTCTTTCTGGATCTATAAATTAAGGGAACAGTATTGGCTGTGTACCAACACTTCAATGAGGGAATTACTAAAAGCACTAATGGATGCTGCTATTTTGATCGTGTAGTAAAACAAAATGTACTCTCAAAAGTACCATGGCTGCACAGTGCATTGTTTATTACTCATTACTGCAATATTGACCTTTGCTATACAGTTATAATAGAAACCTACAATATGCAAATGAGCTATCTAACCATTCACAGAGTTTTTTTCCCACAGTGTTGTGAGAAACTCGACCAGTCACAGTTCCACATTAATGTATCTGTGGGTGTTTTGATGAATCAAGGTAATTCAGTAATTAGCATAAATAATTTATACTGCAGTGCATACTGCAATTACAATATTTAGCAATAATGGCAGTATTTTATCCATCACATGCAGTGCTAGTAGATGCTAATGATAATGGATGCTAATGGTACTTTGCAATAAATTATTGAGTTAGTGTGTACTATAAATAATAACAACATAAACAGACTCTGTGACGTCTTATTAGGATCTACACTAAAATTATTCCACAACTGCATACTGTGTACTACGAATAGCAGCAGCAGTGTTCTGTTAACCCCTAGCCAGCGCATAAGTGTTTAAGCCTTGGAGTCTGCAGAAGCTCGAGTAAGGAGACCTGGGGGCAACTGTAGTCTGGATCAGATAAAGCCAGAGTCCACAGGGCGTGTGTGTGAGAGATCTCTGAGATGGCACACAGCTGCGTAGCTGTAATACATCACTTTATCTAACCTGTTCTGGGACCTGTTTCTCAAAGATGTCCTGTTGCAGAGCTATAATACCCGGCTTTATCAGCACCGTCCTGGGAACAGCACTGAGTCCCTATCTGTACTTCAGCAGCTCAAAGGAGTCCACATGGAAACCCTGAAATCTCACAGTCCAGCTGTGATTTGAGCTGTGACTTTGATTTACTGCCACCATTAGCAGATACGGAAAACGTCTCATTTGGCTAAGTTTAGATCCAGGGTCAAACAGGTACACTGTGTGAGGGACAAAGAGTTTACTCCATGACTTTGAATACAAAGAATGCGAGCACTGGCTCTGGTACAAACAATAGGGTCATTCTCATAAAGCTGCCTCAAGCCTCAAGTAAATATTTAAGTGGCACAATTATAACATGGCATAAAGATAAACAAAATATTTATAATGAGTAGATCAATTAGATTCTATAAGGTACAGAAGAAAGTATTTCTTAATTTTTCTATTTTAAAGTTTTTTGGGATTTTATAAAGTAATTCGCACTATCAAAGTGTGTCCACATATCTATTTCTCATTACTGATGTTTATAAATTTTTGCTTTTTTAATTAGCAAGTTTTTTGTATTATTTTTATAGGTCAAATCTCTTTACTTTAATAGGTTCATTGTAAACTGTAGAAAGGGAACCAAAACAACAAATTGTGATGTGGCAGAAGTAAAAAAAAAATAAGAAAAATGAAAAAAAAAAAAGTAGTATTTGCAGATTTCATTATTTGCATATCAAAAAAAAGAAAAAAAACTTTTTTTTAGTCATTGTAATTTTTTCAAGTTGGGCCCCAGTATTTGTCATGCTTGTAAGAATAACCTAATAGCAAGCACACACAAATGGCAAAGCCCTTGCTTGCAGCGTCAGATTGTGTGATTAAATGTCATTGGTAAATATTTAGTAATGCAGCGTTATTCTGACATTCAAATCCAGCCTCACCTTCTGATTGAATGTAAGTCTGTGTCTTTGGCTTAACATGAATATGCAACCACACAGAGCCTTAGTGTGTGTTCTACATTTATGTTATCTTTTATATTAATATCCTCAATAAATACATGAATACTGAGCAGCAAAAGCTCATTTCTTGCATGGCAGGGTTGGCTAACCACACATCCATAAGCCTCACTGGGCGCTGGTGTAATCCTATAGCGACGCTGCACAAGAGTGACAAATGATATGATGATGGGATTCATTGGATGGTGTAATAACATTCCAAACTTGCCCTGTCTGACAGAGCTCATTACAGTCCAGCTGATCTCAGATCAGTCCTCCCAAGGCCACTGCAATCAGTTTCCCATTGCCACTCATTATGATATATTTATTGGACGTGTTGCGGTCAATGTCGGTATGGCATGCAGCTGAGTCTGTACTATGTGGACTCAATTTGACGAAAACGATGAGAACCATGTGATTTTTCATAGTCAATATGAAACAAAGGGTGTAAAGGAAGCTATTTTTATACTGTCAGAGCACTCACAGAGCACAATGGGCCAGGATAATGTCTCTATTTTGATTTGGATTCTAGTGATGGTACATTACAATGGGCCAAATTTTAGCTCTCCTTACAGTGCAGGTGTTTGCCTTGGAATACAATTCCACCACTGGCATTAATGAGTATATTAAGTAAGGATTATGTTTTTGTTATGTTGGCACTGACTCCACAAATGGCCTATGAGTTGCTCCTGCCATTAACCACAGACAAGTATTGTAAAATACAACATGCTACATCCTCAATTAATGTCTACAATACAAGAGGAGAAAAGCTTTTATTATGATAGAACGATTTTCATTAAGTGCTCCGGTTGCCATGTCATTTTCTCGCAAACACAGGTGTTCTGATTGAAAAAGCAGGGGATTGTCCCACAATGCAGCAGCAGGGGAGTGAAAGGACAGTGAAAGCCGCACTTTGGTGGCAGGTAGAGCGCTAATAGAGTGGCTTACTGCTACGGAAGCGCAGTTAAAATGCAATTATGGTCAGTTTAAAGTGCTGTCCCCACAATAGCTGCAGGGCAGTAAAGCGCATTAGTGTGCTAGTGTGCTAGGCCTCAAACTCCCCATTCAGTCATGCATGGCAGGACTTTATGCATACTGCAATAGGCCTGGGTATGATGGGGCGGTCCGCACGGCCTGGACTATGGTTATTGCACATCTGTGGCGATGGGAAGAAGACGGTAATGGGTGGTTTGATGGACGGAAGAGTGAACTAGAGGAGAATGGGGTAGAGAAGTTTCATTGGAAATGCACAGATGCCAAAGTCCTTGTAACTGGCAATGCCCCTGGGCAGAAATTTGCAGTCACACAAGACGAGAGTCCGATCTGTTTGAAAGAGACCTTAAACCCAAAACTGAAAGCAAAGCTGACATTTAAAACAATTGAAATCATCATTAAAATTAGACAAAAACAGAAAATTGGTCACTGCGGCTCAACACAAGATAACGTATTTTCAGGTTACTACAGCAACTAGGCACGCATATATCCCCACAACATGGGGGTATTTTCTTGGTTCTGCCTTTACTAGCAAGGCAATTGGTGCTTTTTTAATAAAGGGTAGGGCTTCCCGTAACACAACCACCACGTTGAACATTATAAGCCATTCCAATTTTTATATATCAACTGTCTCCTCTGATAATATTCAAGTGTTGTTTGTTTGTCTGTATTAAAGGATACTTACATACACTGATATTACACATATACCCACATAAACGTGCATTATTACATATACTGCGTGCATATTGTTGACAAACTATTTCCTTCAGGCCTTCAGTTTGTCTTTATTGCTATTCATTTTACACACACACACACACACACTTTCTCTCTCTATCTCTAACAACATCTCTCCATCTCACTGCAGCTGTGTGTTATGAG